AGTTTCCCATTCGAGAACTAACGAATATTCCCAGCTTAAGTCGTTAAATGTCTCACCTGAGACATAATGGGCGTTTGCAGTGAGGCGTGAATTAAACATCACTCGACAGTCTCTTCCCACTAAGGAAGCCATGGAACGCCATAGCTGGTTATATTCTCCGAAAAGATAGGAAAGCGAACCGAGCAGCGTGGTCGTATGATTTAACCACAACGGCGCACTTTGTCACGCCATCTTCCTCCAAAGTTCTGTTCACGGAGTACTCAGCTGTGCACATACTACATATGGGGCAAGGGCCGCATAGCTGTGGCATAACCACTGGCTGCGGGTTGAGAGGTTTGAGTTTTTTCATTCAGTTACTCGACGCAAGTTGTGAACGGCTGAATATCCCAAGACAATGAATCCCACATTTTCAGACAGAACAACCGAGCGGCAGGTGATGGAAACGATTTTTTTTTCTCGTCGCTAAATTATAAATAGGCAGCGACCATCTGGATAGTACATTGAAGCAGTCGGTTGATCATCAGTGATAGAGACGCCGCATTCCGGCTTAGGTCCTTTTTGCTTCTTTAATGCTGTGCTATGTAATAAGGAGGACTTTTTGTAGACTCCCCCAACGGTTTTCCCGAGGACCTGTTTCCTTCTGCCGGGAGTATTTCCCCTTTTGCGTGGAAAGATTTTGAGCATGGGTATGACATCGACACTAGCCCGAAATAGTGGAATATCGCCAACGTTGACCAATCAGACAAAAATGATGTTGAGGAGGTCGGCTGCTGCCGACCGGTATTGATATCAAGGGTTCCAGTACCGGTACGAGCCTAGAGTTTGATGTAACCAGGAAAAAAACTATCTTACTACCTCAAAATTTATATCACAATGCTCGGTCCGTTTTTTGGCAAAAAAAAAACCTGCGATATGATGACCAAAGTCGGATATTTGAAGCTGGCCTGGAAGGTCAACATGTACATACCTTAGCGCTTTGGCGAATGGCCTGGAACGGAGACTATGAGAGGCGAGCTCCAGTTCCAACATTTCAAACCAATCTCCGCTCCCAAGTGTTTAAACGAGGCATGAAAGAAACTGGTCCGGATCGATAACGTACAGGCATATCCCATGTTTGTGAATCGGGTGTCTCTACGGAAAAACACGGTATAGCTACTGGATTTCAGATCTGACATTATTACCCGATAAATCTGCATCCATGGTGAATCGACAGGGGTTTCCGAGATCTTCGATCGTAAGATCGGGAAGGAACGGGGAAAAACGCGCATGCGGGATCAATTGTCGTCGTCAATTCTGCCCGAACCGAGATACCACTTACATATATTGAATCTCCCGCTTCGATAGTTTTTCTTTGCTCAGCCGCTGAAGGAAAGGAGAATCGATCCATCCGATGTTTGCCAATTGTTGGAGAATGTTATGACGAAGTTGGTAGCCTTTCGAGCCGATTTAGAATTCCCGCTATACCACTTTGGCGACCGCCCCATTTTCCTGAAATGGCGAGAGTGGAGCCTATGTTTCCGTAAACCTGAGGAACATGCAAGATTGTCCAATGAGGTGGGCCCTCTGGCTAAATCTTGGGCGGCCAGAACGGTCTGTGGGGTAGCCTGAAATGCAGAATCGGTCTGTGGTTGCACCGCTTGGCTCGCCATTTCCTCTCAAGGTATGCAACCACAGCTTGCATATCGTTGTCCCGGTCGAAAGTTGTCATTGCACATACAGAGTCGTTTTTTTTTCTCTCATTGCTTGCTGCACGAGCATCCGAGATCTTTTCGAATCGTCGTTATCGAGCATCACCCACACGGAACCTGGCGTTTGAACAGCACAGCACCTCCTTTAGACTAGAATTAGCTTGATGATTTGATTCAATCAACCCAAAGCAGAAAAACTCATTCCCCACAAGATATTCATGCATATCGATTTCGAAAGAAGAACCCGCTTCTAGAGACGACCGTATGCACTATACATCACTCGGCCGCGCACCAGGCAGCATTTTTTTTTGTACACATTCAGTTATATCTGCAAGTTGTATGTCAGGCAAGCCCCTTTATTTTCTTTGTTGGACCGCTGGGCGATCGGAGAGTGTCGATACCCGGAAATCGAGTTTGCATGCAATTTGTTGCCTTCGGTGTACCGGTACCACAACATATGCGTCCTAATAGGACGCTCGGGAAGCCCCCAAAGCTTCCAAAACTTCTAAACCCCGATTCCGAGAATCAAGCATTGGCAGTCAAGCTCACTGGTTGATTGCGTTATAAAACTAATTAATACGGCAAAGTACTGTCATAACAGGAAAGTCCTAGAGCTAAAACTGTCCGTATTGGGCCCCGCACAACGAACCCCGAGTGGCAAATTTTCAAGTCCAAAATTCCACAACGTCCTATGAATTCATGAAGCAGCGTAGCAAGTGTCCAAGTTCAAGATTGGCGGGTATTCCGGTCTTAGACTAAAATGCACAGATTAAACTTTGGCGACACTTACAGAAGTGATCGTAACGTTCTGGGTTAATGATCGTTAAGATCATTCCCCAATTGAATTCGAAGAAAGCCACCCGATGCACGATCCTCTCGTTATCACAGTGCATCACCTAGGCCAGGGTTCAGCTGAAGTTATGTAGGTCCAGGCGTAGGAAAATGCTCCGATGTTTTGCTTCTTGCTCGATACATCCAATTCCCCAGAGCTACAACAGTGCTGACGTTGCAAAGAATGTGAAAGGGCCACGCACGAGCCGAGGCCTTGCGAGCTTGTCATGGTTCGGAAGCAGGGAAACAGCCAGGATATCCGCAGCTGTGTTGCTTCAACCTTTCTTCAAAAGAAATGCTCTGCATCATTTAATAGGCTGGTTGAATATTCCCCTTGGCTGGGCGGTCAACCTCAAGCTAGCGTCCGTTTAATCATGATTTTATGGAATCGACAAATCCTAATTCTCATGAAATACCCCGTGGGAATTATGTTTCTCAGTCGCAAGTTGGTTAGATCTAAAACTAACGTGCAGGCATAGATCTGGAGTCGCCAATCGAGATCGAATCTTGAATATTGAGCTGGGGTTTACTAGATTTCCGCTTCTGTGCAGCATTGATCATGGGCCTAATATTTTCAAAATACCTAAACACACCCTTAGATCCCAGATAAACCAGCTACCCTTGAGTATTGCCGCTCTCTTGAAACGCCGAGAAGTAGTTGATGTAAAACTACTAGACAAATTATGTGTAAGTTCTATCAGACTTACCAGAGTTTGGGGGGATCTTCGCAGAAGGATGTGGATGCACAGGGGAATCGACCTCGACCTCGCCGTCTTTTCTCTTGCCTATCAGGGCCGACGAACGGGTCTTTTTTCTGTAGAAGTTCAGGTCCTCCCGGGAGCTTCCCTGGCTGCTCGCTAGGTTTCTTTGACTTTACGTCGAGAAGAATTCAAGGAAAAAAGAGCGACTTTCCTGCAGTGTCAATCGTATATCCGTTATCCAGCCTCTTCTTGCCGGCAACCAAAACGACCTTTTTGGCAACGGCACAAGGGTGAGGATCTACCCCCCTCGGCACGAATGACATGTCTATACCCATAAAATCTTTTCACTCTTATCCTCATATATGATTGGGTGATATATTGCGTCCGGGTTTTGCCTTGAGGGAAATATTGTAAAGTTTTAGGTACCTGTACGTATGTATGTAATTATGCTATCTTGGAACCAGAGGCACGCATTTATCAATATGGTAAGACAATAGCTACGAATCAGTTGGACTGACTATGTTTTGATCACACTCAAACTGACATATCAATGTATACTGAAGTATTTCTTGCAATGAGACTTAATGATGTTGCATACATGTACTTAGTGGGCAGGGAATCCATGACAATTAGACATAACACAGCTGTTGGCTTCTAGATTACACTGGTCTATCGGTATAACAGTACATATGAAATGGGTCAGTACTATTTCGTTACGTCTGTTGGAGCTACCTAAAACAAGTATAACCGCAATGTATAGGTCTAAGAATGTCAACAACTAAGCCGTTGTCCATCACAAAAAAAAAAAAAAATCTCCGAGGTGGAGTGAAAATTGCTTCCAGCGAGGGGTAAACTAGCTAATGCAATGGAAATAGCTTTTTTAAAAAACCAAAAAATTTCCCGCAGGTGGAAAACAGGCCCGTGGAAGAAACAGCCATCTCTTTTCTTACTCGTCGTGCTACCACCAAGGCACATTCCATAATGTGCTGGCGCTACCGTTTTTTCTTCGTGACCGGTTATTAGAGTTTAGGCCACACTGCTCTTCAGCGTGATAGCCCATCCGGGTTGTGGCCCATATGCATTAGTTAGTAGCAGGTGAACGAAGCGCCCATCTGGCGATGTTGGAGTCTCACACAACCTTGGAATGATGATTTGAGTATGTTGATTATAATACGGAGACACGAGTAAAGTGTTGATATCCTCAAAATGTGTTTTTGTGGTAAGTTGTTCAAGTTTTAGATACACCACTAATTGTTGGTACAGACCCCGAAGATTCATGAGGTTGACAAAAAAAAAAGGATAAGATGGAGAGAGCCAACTATAGGCCAGTGGTTGAGTAACATTGGTAATGGTGATCAAAAATCACCTACTATACAGTTATTAAGAAAGGAGCCCAAGAACGCCGTAGAAATCTGACATGAGATGGAGTGAGAAAATGAATCAGGCAAAGGAGATAGGTATTCCGCCCAAGCAGCAATAGCGATAAAAATGCACAATGTCGACGCAGTAAAAAAAAAGACCTGTCAGACTCCGTTCCCTGAGTTCCCTTCCAAAATGGATGATAGAAAAACAAAAACATGAGAGGGTGAAAGAAAACCGAATGCCCAGATTAATTCCCGGGCAAAGGAAAAGTATTTATAAGAAAAATGATGTGTGAGCATGTCGTCCACAACGTAGGGAATAAAAAGGCATATAAAAGGACGATATCGCTAATAAAACAGTTGAAGTGGGCGTGCGTGGAAGTCTACTAGCAATTATGAGGATAGTGTTGCAATAGTTATTATAGGAGAATGCTAGATAGAGTCATCCTCTGATCCTTATTAGGGCCTTCAGGAGAAAGCGGCGTAGCCGGAAGAGTTGGGAATGATACTGTAACCGGAGTAGATGGAGGGTGTGCAATATGCTTCGGTTCTGTAATTCGGAAAGATTGTGAAAGCTCTGCAAGTTGTGCAAGATACCCACCATGCTCTTGAGAGGGTCTATGAGCAAGAGGGCTGTGTAGGTATGCCTTCTCGCACTGTGTCGCTTGTGGGTACCTTCTTTCCTCGAGAGGGTGAGGAAGGCTTCGCCTGCGGTCCTCATAGGAAAGACCTTGGAGATGCGGGGTTTGATGGGAATACCCAGAAGGGGCTCTATTCACCAGAGGTGGCAAGTTAACATCAACTGCAGGCGAGGCAGGTAGCCTGGGAGAAGTTGAATTTGGTGAAATCGAATCCATAGTCAAAGCAGGAGTTGTTTCTTTTGACCCTCTCCTCGACATTGAAATCGAAAGAGGGGGTGAAAGCAGAGCAGGTTCGACGTAGTGCCTCTGGGAATGAGTCGATGGGATAAGAGTTGGATGATGAGGCGAATGCTGCTGGGGACTACCATTGAAAGGAGGCGAGTGCGGCATAGGCTCGATGGATACTAGCTTATATGCTCGCTCCTGTTCTACCGATGAGCGACCTGCTTCAATCTGTTTTTGTCGTATACACATTCGCTTCCGTCGATTCATGCCACCGTTCCACCAGTTTTTGACCGCATTGTCACTTCTGCCTTTTAGTCTTCGAGCAATCTCCGCCCAACGCTTTCCCATTTCAGCGACAAGCTGTTCTATTAAAGCACCTTCCTCTGGTGTGATTGGGTCACGGTTGAGCTGAGGCTTGAGGTTCTGATGAAACCGTTCTCTGCACTGCTTTGGCGACCTCGTTCCAACAAGTTGTGATATCCGTACCCAGTTGTGGGCTCCGAATCTTTGGACTAAAGACACTAGGTTTGCATCTTCTAAAGGAGACCACGGCCCCCGACGTTGCTGCATGATTGTAGATTTGAAGGTTTTGAAGAATCACGATCGGGTGTATTCAAAGTAAATATATAATCTCTTCCCTGCCTTTGATTCAATTTTTGTCTATTTCTTTTTGTGTTTCTTTGAGGATATGTCGTGCAACCGCTCGATGGCCCGACTAGGAGTTAATATAAAATCAGTATTGACATGACATGACAACGCAAACTTGATTGAGAAGGGTCATGTCAAGAATTACCTTAGAAGAATATGTTCCAGATAGATGTGCGGTAAGAGAAGTAACGGTGTGATTCAAGATGGGGAACTAGCTGTGTGTATATATGCAGAGGAAGAATATTATAGTGTGGAGATATGAACTCGATGGTGATTATATAGGTAGAGTGGTTTTATTTCAGCGTACAAGCGAACGGGAAGACGGCGGGAGAAGGGTATATGTATTTGAACTCTCAAAGTATGCAAAGGAAAAGAAACGAAACTAATGGATAATATGCAAATGCGTACGTCTTGGGTGCTTATAGTTCCGCTCCTGGGCTCCTGCCCAAGGTGTGGACATGAAATTTCGTCCACCTTTGGGAGAAAAAACACCCCATTCTCCTAAGAAAAGCTGCATAGGCTTTCTATTCCCTGTGTGTACAGAGTGGAGAAAAAAGAAAGGTGTATACAGGGCGAACAGGGAAGCCGCCACGGGGGCTACCCTTGAGCCATGGGCATTGGATCCGGGAATACCGGGATGTTGGCAAAAAAAGCACACCTCCGTCAGAAGCACAATAGGCCGCTTGGCAAAAGCAAAGGTAAACAGAATCGCTAAGGGAAGAGAAGAATTCAAACAACTGTGAGGCTAAGGCTGAAAAGGCCGTGGGACCCGCCGTCAAGGAAATTAAGACTTGACGATGACGATGTGGAGGCAGCAAACAGTTTGCTTTTTCATCGAGCTAGTTTTATTTTATTTTTTATGTTTTATTCTTTTTTTTTCTGCGGCGCTTTGGCTAGTCAAAGTTCACCATCAAATCACAAACCTCGTATCGCATTTACACGGGCCCTTTGAGTACCAGAACTTGACGATATCACGGGGATGGAAATTGGACTATCGGATGGGGAATTCGAAAGCCACTTTTCTCGCATGTACTATAGTCCAGAATCCCAATCCATGTAAAACTGTTGAGAATTTATTGAGCGACCAAAGCTAACCTGTGGCGTTTAAAGGTCTACTTTCTCGAGTCAAGAGAAACAGAGCGAGCAAAGATCGGATTTGGTAATAGTACGTAGGGGGGTTTCATGAAAAGTGTATATTCATCGATCAGAGTTCCTATCGCGCTAGAGAATGTGCTACTCACGATCGAAGCCAACGTGATTGTACGAAATGGACTAAAATCGTGGGATACATTGCCAGACAAGTTACATACATGAACTCTATCCGGTTTGCTGGGGAGAGGTATTCGATCGTCGACGTTTCTGTAACGCAGCTGGCACCCAGCTCAAGAAGAACTGGGTTTGCTTCTTGCTTCCTGCTCCATGTCCGCTTGGCCTTCCTGATAATGTCTAGTGGGGATCGGAGATGCTCGTTATGCAAATCTGATATTGCCATCAATCCGATCTCCCGAGTATGTTGTTAGAAGTCAGGGCGGGACCTTGCCAAGGCTTATCCTCTCGATTCTCGATACAAAATAGCTTGAAATTCCATTTCCTGCTGAGTTCAACTGAGTCTCATACACTAGTCAGTACTCCACATTGTGGCCTAATTAATTTGAATCGAGATTTAACTTAACCGCGCAATTCTCCCAAGCGGGTTGTTTAAGCTTAGCTTCAGGGAAAGCGGCATCTTCTAAAGAAAGTAGTAAAGTCACAGGCTCCTGAAACACAACTTGTTAAAATTACCGATCTCAAAAACCAAAATGGCTAAAATTAAAAGAAAACGGCAGAACTTTTCAGACTCCTGATTCCGGATTTGCCATATGGGTTCAGCCGAGTTTTCCAGGTACAATGTGGGATTGTACCCATAGGAATATTCCAGCCTTGCCGTGAGGGGATCTGTTGCATGTAGGAAACAGACTCTACATATGTAAGCCATCTCATTCCATCTTTAGAGAGATCCCTTCTTGATTTTGGAGTGTTCTGAACTGATTATATAAATCTAGTGTTCTTTCCTTCGAGAGAATGCTCAACATTGACATATGTGGAAATGGGCTACCACGTCATCTCAAAATTCCTAAGATTTTATACCAACTGAAGACCATGTAGCACAGTAGTCCAATTCTCAAGAGTCTATAATTACGTATAGGTATTATGCTTTTATGAGGGGTCGGAGCCGCTGGGTCTTCGTGACACTAGGATTTACTCTTGGGTTTATGCATCCAATGATGTGGAACCTTTTTACATAGCACTTTTAACGGATTCCGTCAAGATCACACAAAATCGGAATCCAGCTGGCAAAACCCCTTGACAACCCGAAGGTCTGGATGCGGCCGAAAGCCTTTTCCATCGTCTATCCCGCAGGCATATGCTTGTTGAGTCCTCCGGTCTGCCGATTTTCGTCACAAGTCGGTGTGATCGAAAACGGCGCTAACTAAAGGGTCGAGTTCCTCTCCCATTCGGCTGCTTGATGCAACGCCGGTTCTAACGGTATTTACCGAGGCAGCAGATGGATGTCGGTTACATACTAGTATACTACGTAGCAGAGCGTCTGATATCCAGCAGCCCCCGCCAAGGTTGGCCAGCTCGAGAGGATAAGGAAGGAGGTCGCCGATGAAAATCAATACAGAGGTCTTAACTGGGGTGATGGAGAGAACCCACTGCCAGATTGGGGACGATTGTGGCGCATTCGAGTTGAACCCATGCCAAAAAGAGATTAACTTTGGAACCTGACATTGGCAGCTGTTTTTTTTCCCCGGGCTGCTTTCGTCTCTTCGTCGCTCCTTCGGGGTGGTCACTGCCAAATGGAGGAATATTAGTCCTAGCGGACGATCTGGCGGCGGAGATAGAAGTCTCTTCTCGTCCCAGCGCTCCGCATGATAATACTTAAGTATGTATGCGTATGTATAGTTGGCTCATTGATTGACATATTATGGAGACTAGCTAAGCAGCCTTCAGTAGGCTCCCGCCAAATCTTTAATAATTGCAGATCGTATATGTTCATTGGAACGTGAAGAACACGCGATATCTTCCCCTTCCAAGTGGATTCATCGTTCGGGATGGCTATGTACATATGTATGTATATTGGCGCCCGCAAAAGCTAAAGCCTCGGCCGATTTGGGTCGTGGTACCCACTTGCTTGTATTGGCTTCGGACTGCACTTAAGAGTCCAAGGGTATTTCCACTACGTCATAGCTAGTCCCAATCTAAAATGAGTCCACCAATAATCAGGAGTCGTCCCGCGTGTCTTTGATAGTAAAGTATTGCCTTTCGATGAAATGGTTAGGGGTAGGCGAAATGAGTGTTCAGAACGCCAGGGTCCCTCCAATAGTGGAGCTCTTGGCCAAGTCGGATCACGGTCTAGATCTCAACGGCCGGGATGTTTGTTAGCACAACATTTGCTATATCCCTGGCGTCCAAGCAGGGCAAGTTTTCTTCTGGGGAAGTTCCAGCAAACATGCAAGATGGAAGGCAGCTTTGATGTTTTCTTGAGACATGCCCGCATCGGCTAAACGGACAGTTTCGAAAGGGTTTGGAATGTAGAGTCCTCTTCACTCTCTTCACAAGATCCTTCTAGGGACATCCACGTCGCAATATAGGTTCTTATATTAATAGCTGCCCGTATCGTGGGTCACTCATAATGCACGATGTCCTTTAAGATCGAAACGGATATCCTTCGGGTGTGGGGATGCAATGCTTCGGATCTGGTCCACAGGTGTACAGTTTGTTTGCCGCAGCATTGATGATTGCTTTCAACGGTTTTGATACGATCCTGCAGCTAATTAGAATTAGAGGAAGCCTATCCAAACATTTGACTTCTTTTGGTGACTAAAACAACAAACGGTTTCCCTTTTCCAGAGGCAATCTTGGGCGGCATTTCTCCCAACCGCCAGCGTGCGACCAGCTTCCGTTGAGATCTGAAGGTATTCCTGATACGGCTAGCGGGCATTCTTATCCCGCACAATTATTGGGCCCAATCTTCGTTCTCTTGTATGGACCCACCCCAAAAATAGGCTCTCAGATCTTGATCTAACCAACGGCCTTCGATCTTGCAATTTCGTCATCCAATCAGAGAACAAATAGATATCCCGTCGTGCAGACTGATGCTTGGCGGCCTGGAGTTGCACGATACGCGATTTTCGGTTGAATCGAGCAGATGTCATACCACTCACGGATGCTCCCAGAACCCTTGGAAGATAAAAAATTAAAAATTAAAACAATCGGCTCTTGGGAAACTCTCCGATTGTTGAAGAATTGGGAGTGGATGAGATGTGCCGTTGGCCAGGTTTGCATACATGCATATCGCTAGGCCGCAGAATTTGAGCACTGTGCAATCTGCATTGCAAGGTGTAGATGTTGGTTATTTCGAAATTTTTCGTTAATCGCATCACGCTGTTGGGTATTAGCTAAGCAACTCGATGCTAGGAATTCTAAAAGCCTTCTTCCAAGCTCAATAGGCACATACCCCACTTCTGCTGATACATACAACTAGGGTAATAGGAGAAAGGGGTGCCGACTTCGAATCCAATTGGCCGGAATATCATATCCTAGAAGTTCGATCAACTTCAGCAAAACCGAGAGTACACAAAGATCTGGGTATCTTAACTTAAGTTATGCGGGCTCGATTTGAGAAACGACATGGTATTCCAATCGACCAAATCATTTTGCCCGAGCCGCCTCGTATGAATTTGAACACTGGGAAAACACACAGGGCTTTCGCCCCGTTTATTTAGGCTGGACACAGATCTGAAAGATTAGTGCGAATCTGACCCTGCGGCAGTGAAACGTCTGGATTGCTTATGTACCAGGAGATGCGCCAGGGAACAAATTTTTTTCGATCACATTCAACCAAGTGAAGCTACTCGCGGGCCCCACTTTTCAACTTGGCAGTTTCTGTGGGCACAAATGTATCTTGACGCTTCGAATCGACCAGAAACGATACAGGAGGCGACGAGTCCAGATGTGGAAGGGATCAACAGCGCCTTCGGGTTTGAAAGCATTTCCGTCTTTCGCCGACTTAAGCTCAGGCAAGAGTTCTTCACCTTGCGAACTCCTGCCCGGATTTAATATGGGTTAAATAGTTCCCCCCTCCCTTAAAACCCTTTGGTGGGCCTCGAGGCATGGATGTTGATACTAAAATACTGAGACCAGAATATCGAAATTTCGATGCCCCCCAAGCTTTTCAACTTACAATTTGGCTGTTGGTTTCTCGTACGACTTTGGTGACGTTTAATTGGGTCCAAAATTGACTTTGTGACATTTGCAGCTGCACCGACTCACTAGTCTTCAGTATGCATCGGCTCCATTTGGTTGCAACTGCAATGTGGTTGACTATTCTGTAAACCTGCCCGGTTATCACCACATAGCTTTCGTAAAGAGAGGCACATTTGGGATAACCTTCTGCATGCATATGCCTACAGCCCAGGGGCCTTCCGGCTACCATCAAGCCGCCCTGTCGATGTGGACGAACACAAACAGGACATTCTCTGTTCCCTACTTGGCTGTACATGCATAGCTAGCGTGTTTAATGACCGTATTGGTTGCACGTTTCAAGTTGTGATAATCGTGTTCAATTTCCAGATCTTTAGGGCTTGCTCAAGAGCAAGAGTGGGCCAGCGCCTTGTTGTCCACCCCGCTCGAGAAGTTTGCAATGATCATGAGAGGCCCCCCTCCCATTCACGAAGCACCCGCAGACATGATTTCGTTGTAGATTTACCAAATGCACGCCTTTGATACAGATTTATTGGGGCTCTAGGCCTTTTGCCTAACTCGAAAATGATCTTTTTGGCTGATGGCTTGCCTGGTTAGAGCGGATATATTATTAAATCCTCCTGGAGAAATCGAATCATATCACTTGACACCCCTCCATTTCGACGACCACGAACCGACGGTGCATGATGCATTGATGCAAAATGCCTGCATTTAATCGTTCAGGCGAGTAATCAAAAGAAGAAAAAAATAACATCCTAGGGGTGGTGTTCATAATAGCTACAGGTCGCGATAACGGCGCGCTCTCGACCCGGATTACGCCCTCGGATTACGCCCTCGGAAGCCGTGGGCTGGATAGAGTACTAGGATATCTACGGGAGGCTGGTCGCCCCTCCCGGCTCAGACATATTTCGTACGACAGGTGATATTGTATGTGGACCAAACTGTCATGTGGGATTGATGCACAAGTTAACGTTGCTGGTACTTGGGGACCTCTTTTCGGGGAATATTTCATGCCGATGATCTTCTAACATACGGGATCGATTGCTTGTTGGACTGACCAGTCAACTTGTTGCTTGAAATGCAGGTTGTAAAACAGGTCAGATGGAAAACTTTTAGTTGGTTTGTTTACTACCTGATGTAACAAGGTTCCCATTATATTCGTAGCCTTTCTCATAGGTCCATTCAGCGCGGGCCCAAGCCCGGAGATCAACATGAGGTATATCAATTCTCGGCGGTATGCTCCCGTAAAGACCGCTCTAAATGAACTGGCAGGTAATTAAAAGTAATAAACTGACGGAGGGCCGTTGGAAATAACCCTCTACATCCGACGGAGCCATCCTAGGCTGGATCCTCGAGAGGGATATTTGGGAAGGTATAGCATGTATGGACGTTATAAGATTGGCTCGCCTGTAAGAAGCTAGTACAAGACACAGTGACTCCTGGCCCTTGTCGGTGACCGTCTTTGATCGGTTGCCTCTACTTTGGACTTAGACTTGCAAAATTTTCTCCCGTGTGTCGAGTCCCGCGGTCCATCTTGGATTTTCAGAAAGAAAGGAAATATGAGGGCCGAGAGTCTAATTCCAACATTGTGAGCTTGCTAGATACTTAAGTGTGTGTATTTGAGTAATATTTAGCTAATACCAACTAGATATTTAAGACGTATGTAACAAGCGTACTCCTTATGTCGGCTATAACTAGATAACTGCATAATTTCTTAAGGTCTCTGAGATAGCCAGAACCGAGTCCCCATGCATTGATATGTCAAGAAACCCTCAATCTCAATGGGTTTAAAACTTTCTCAAGGAATATGCCGCACGGAAATTCAAGGTAACTGAGAGATCGAACATGGACGGAGTGTTGATAGTGCAGGGAGTGTCTAGATCTAGAACATACATACACAAATCAATTTGCATATTTCATACAATCATGCATTTTGGCCTAAGTCGATAGTTCTGTCTCTAATCTTCTTAAGACATGGAACTCTTAACAAATCTAGCACATGTAGTGATACCATCTGTTAACATGTTCACGAATAATAGATAGACATTAAACTGCACATCAATCCTGCCAGATGGCACAAATTTTTATCATAAGTTTATTGATCGACCTAAGTAACTTCCAACACGCGTACTTCGTATCTAATGTTCAAATACCCAGCTAGCTACACTACGCGGATGAGGCCTTTTTGGCTGCCGTTTGCACTATGTGTAGACTAGTATACTATGATCTAGCTCGTGAAAGATATGCATATATGGAACCATTACACTCATTCTAGAGAGTTGGTTTCCGGGCGGAAGCTCTTTCTGGTCTGTTTCGGATACAGAACCATTGGATTCGGGGCCCATAATGCCATGGCTTGCTAGTTTATTTGTCCTCCCATGCCATCCCTGCTATAGATGTCCAAAAACCGATGATCATCATACGTTTAAAAGAATAGTTCGAAAGAAACGCTAAAAAAGACGTAGATACACCACTATCCGTGTGATGTTCTCGAGACTTCTGCCTAGGCGTCAGCTCTTCGCCGGAAATGGATTGTTGACATGCAAAACACATTCCTAAGGGTGGCAGCTTCATTCGATTGTTGCACGGGAAGCCAGAATAGCCCCATTAGCCTTGAATCGGAACGACCGTGGGGGCGGTGTTATTTTTGCAAACGCAGGCGAATACGAGGCGATATCGTCATAGGAGCAAGACCTAAGGCTGATTGTATATTCGCGGAGGCGATGGCTATGGAACTGATCGCTTTTGTCACACAGTACACGGGATCGGACAGGATCGGCTAAGAAGTTCTTCAGTACCCCGAGATTCCCTGATTCAGGAGACAAGTCGGTTTTGGTCAGTTATACTAGTCAAAAGCAAGAGACAAAACGCTATAGTGTCTAGCGTAGAGTACTTAGCTACATATCTTGAGCTACCCCTCACTTTTCTTTTCATTCATTGTTGGATCTCAGCCACCGCATAAACAATTTAAAATTTCACAGAAGATTTAGAAGCATGACTTTCATGCGTTCATATCCGTTTTCAGGAATTTGCCATCAATGTATGTAATACATGTTAATAGGTATCTCGGGAGGAGTACATGGACCTGGGTCTTTTTGGTGAGGGCTTGGACGTCCATCCTGATTACACATTATATATCCGATCTGAAAAGGCGATCTAGAGCCCTGAGCCAATCCTACCCTGATTCTGAATATTTCAGAATCCTAGAAGGTTTTTTTTATCGAATCCTACCTTATTGTTCTTGGTATCAACTTCATGTAAGGATCTCATAAAGCTGTGTTGTGGCGTTGCAATTGCGGTTGAACTGGTGTCCTGTTGCATCCTCGTGGCTTGCAGGAGGCGTTTCAAGTTCTCCACCGACAAAAAAAAAAATTCCGAAAGAGTCTGTGCGGATCCGGAGATAGCGGGTTACCTTCATCGCGTATCGTAAACGGTTTAATAGGGTGACACAAATGGCTCATACCGAAGTTCAGCTGGAAGCAAATGTGGAAGAATGATGCATGTTTTACGACAGGACCTTCAAGGAGTTGAATATATCGACGCATTGATCTAGGCCCGACGAACGGAGAGGGTCTAGACAGCAGTAATTATGGTTAAATCCGGTAATAGTTTTAAAAAAAGGTAGAAAATAAGATACTAGTACGCGACTAAACTACGGCTGATTCTCTAACCGTAATTATACGTATTTGACTTTGAAAAATTAAACTAATTGCGCCATGGTGGCGTTGAGCATGCGCATGGCGCTGCAACGTTGAGGCCAGTTGTAACAGGTACAGGTATACGCACCATACGACGACGAGTTCGCGGTGCGGTAATGTGTTGTGTTGCCAACGTTTATGGCAAAGAAAATGTGTTGGATGTGTAGTCGTTTTGTGGAACACAAAAATCGGTCGACTAGAAGGTTTCAGAGGATCGGCTGCAACTCAGCTGGGATAAACCTTCCACGAGACTACGGCATTCCGCGTATGTAAAACTTTGAGCCGACAGTCGTTGAATCTCGGAGACCCTTAATTATAAACGGTGCCATCTAAAGTCTTAGGAAACGTCGTTTGGAGCCAGCGTATATATTTATATAGAGATATATATATACGTATACATATATATATATGTATGTATGAGCATATGAGGGCAGCAAGGTTTCCTGGGACGGTGGCACGATTCACTTCGTCGCATTTTCGATCTCAAATCAAAAGTCGTGAGGCAACCTTGACTACAGGTTTCCGAAATCAGCGGATTTCACAGCATCAATACAGGTCCCAGCGATGGTTTACAGTGTTGGGTGTTGAATCTTCCTGGTGTGCCATAGAATACCCCCATTCCCTAACAGAGCTAGGCCGTGGAGGACTTGGTACCTGGTACCTGACGAGCTAATGATGGTGGCGCTTTATACTTTAGTGACGATTCTTCCGTGGCTATTCTTCAAATCCCAGATTTTGGGAAGCCAACTCTTCCGTTTCATGGCAAGATAACTGCTGATACGACTAAGTTTCTGGGAATAAATCCGATAACGGCGTTTCAGTCACACCGGCGTAGCCTAGCTCCATTGATACAAGACGCTATAAAGCACCTGCCTGATGGCCGAAAGCCAAATATTGTCGCTGTCACACGTGGCCCAGGGATGGTATCATCTCTTGATGTCGGACTTGAAACTGCTAAGGGTCTTGCTCTAGCGTGGGATGTTCCACTTGTTGGCGTCAATCACATGCAAGCTCATGCTCTTACGGTGAGGTTGTGTAGAGCTTTGGAAGGCAATGGACTCGATAACCCCCAGTATCCCTTTTTAAGTTTGCTTGTCAGCGGCGGCCATACTATGATTGTTGTGAGCTGGAGCTTGACTGACCATGAAGTACTGGCTGAGACGATTGACACTGCCGTTGGGGATTGCATCGACAAAGTTGCTAGAGTCGTCGTGCCGGAAGAAGTTGTCAAGTCTAAAAAAGATACAAACTATGGCAAAATGCTTGAAGAGTTTGCATTCTCAGGCGGCATCGATAGCAAGTACGAGGTCTCAAAGACCGATCTAATTGGAGATCGGCTACAGGAGCGATATGGGTGGCGATTGCCTGTGTCGCTAGGTGGTGCAAAGAAAGGGGGACACCGGGGCCTCATGAAATTTAGCTTTGCAGGTCTGAGGAGTAGTGTCGATAGGCTAGTTGACACGAGAAGAAAGATGAAAGGGGATGACTGGGCCGAAGTCGATGAGCGTAAGGCACTCTCACGAGACGTGATGAGGCGCTGTTGGGAGCACCTTGCATCTAGGGTTATTATGACCCTAGAAAGCTTACGCGGAAAAGATGTAGATATCGAGACTATTGTAGTCAGTGGCGGTGTTGCCTCCAATGCATTTCTACGAGAAGTGTAAGTCTGGGCCCCTAGTCTGAGTGCATGCATGGAAGTAATGAAATGTTAATAAACGATATGATACAGCCTTCGGAAGCAGCTTGATTTCAATAGTTTTGACAAGGTGGACCTTGCATTTCCACCAATCGAATTTTGCACCGACAATGCCGCAATGATTGCATGGACCGGCTATGAAATGTATCAAGCAGGCTATGAAAGCACCTTGGATATTGCACCATTCCGAAAATGGAGTCTGCAGCCGCTTGATGAGGCAATCCACGATGTCGAAAAAGACTGGGAAGAGAATGCATTTGGCATTTTGGGAGTAAGTGGATGGAAGCGGCGGACTGTCGACTAGCTAAGAAATACTTCGCGGATATCATGGCCACCCCTTCGGAATACAATCTTATCCATGTACATACTGATATATCACCTATCTAGCATAAAGATACCCATCCGTATTAGAGCTTTTGATATTTAATGTTTAGCGTGTCTGCGTGATTCAATCATAGTAAAGCTTGGACTTCGACGCTAAAGCGGTTTCATTAGTGTTTTATTGACTGCTACGTATATTTCTTATTAAATCCTGAGTCCCCGTCATATAAATTTGGTATTTTTTTATGGCATTTAAGGCTGATCAGAATCCCCTATCGAGTGCATGCTATGCATAGCTATGTATGTTGCATGTTGACACGAGTCTGAGTTGGCTGGGTGTTGGATTTCAGAACACCAATGATGAACAGTCCTGTTCTATTTTTGGTGCCAAGATATCAACTAATCCAAGGGTTCGTTTCTCGAAGCGCCTGCCATCTATTTTCTTGGATTGAAATCACGTACCTTGCCTTCTACTGGCGTAACAGTCCATGTCTGCGGGGAAGTCTTATCGCGACTAAAATAAAGACACGATGACAGCTGTAGACAAGGACGGGTGGCCATGCGCTGCGGGTGGGGACAGCGCGTTTGTAGCGCTGGGTGGAGCCTCAGGAGATATTAATCCTCGACGGCCATAAGGTAAACAGTTTTATATTTATACTGTTGAAAATACATAAAATTAATGTAAGAGGAAGGGGGGCTATTTGATCCTCTTGACTGCTATTTCACGTTCTCGCTATGGTACTCGGTATACTCTCTTTCTTCTTTTCATTTTTCCCTCTTGGTAGGCTCTTTTTCAACCAGGCTGGTTCCGGATCCATTTAAACGTTGTTACATTGATTTGCACCGTTGCATACAAATATCACTGCCAGACAGACGCTTTAGCTTTGATGTACTGTGTATATCATAGCCTCACAAAACTTCAACCTATAGTTTGAAATGAAACCGTTAGCAATTAAAAATAGGATCAAGGAAGCCTTCGGAAGAAGGTTCAAGAGGCGAGGCTCATCCGTCTCCCAGAACGATGCAATCAAGGCAACAATCTCCTGGCGTAAGTTTTCAACCAGTTCTCTTCTGATATAAAAGATATATTTTGATTCTAACTTGAGGGTAGCTGTCGGACGAGGCGACGACCTTACGGCCTACGACACCCATGTCTCACGCGGGCTCGGATTTTTCAAGGACAACGCTCATGGAGACGGCTTTCCGCCCGCTGTCACCCCTGTACGGTATTCCGCAGTATCGTTCGGCGCAATCCGTAGCAAGTCCGAATCTTCACCCTGGCCCCAATGGACCTGATCAATACGATACCGAAAACTTTTGGAAACCTTTTACAATTCGGCTTCCATATCTTATCTTCCTTAATATTTTGACCTTATCTTTTATTATAATTATTGAAACACTTTACTATATTAGCAATCGCAGAGATGGCTTGCTTTTTATGAAGGATATCGACGATCTGCCTCTCGGACAGTACTTTACGATCCAGTACCTTCCGACATTGATTGCCGTTCTTTATGGGATTGCCTGGTCAATCGTGGACCTGGATTGTAAACGGCTAGAACCATTTTATGATCTGTCTAAAGAAACGGGTGCGAGTTCGGATGCATTATTTTTGGAGTATCAGTATCAATTCCCTCTCTTGGTTCCGTTCAGGGCATTTTTTAAGCGACACTGGAGCGTATTTCTTTCGTCAACAATATTTTTAACTACAACCCTTATTGTCACTCCACTGCAGAGTAGTATACTGGCGACAGTTGACAGGACTTCTGAACTCCGGGCCGCCTTCAATATTACTGCTCAGTTCTTACCCATTAACGGCAGTGATTCAGCTTTAACACCCGAGTTTCTCTTCACCGAGTATACGATTAGTAGACTCAATGGGGGTTTACCGGGGTTTACAGCTGAGGGAGATAGCTTCCTCCCAGTTATCCCTTCGCGGGCATTCCAGGAGGATAAATTCTCTCTTTCAACTAATTGGTCCTTGACCAATCTATTTTATACATTGGATGTCAATTGCGTCGAGCCGTCGTTTTCAAATGTTACTGATGTTATGGTTATTGGAAGCGAGTTGCAAGACGCGTTCATAACCTATGTCGTCTCATATCAATTCGAAGAGAACCTCTGCAATGTCACAAACACCCTCAAGATCGCCAGGGAGAACGCAAATATTACCGGCCCCCTTGATATTGCGTATGGATATCATTGGCGGCGTCCTGAGCTAATTAGCCAATGGTGTGGTTTCAAAAATACTACAACTGTGGCGACACTTGGCCAGTTCAACAAAACAGATAGGAAGGTTAAGATCAAGTCGACTTTGTGTGAACTGAGAGGAGTTCAAGAGTTCCAGCAGAATGTGGTCATTAATGCAACCACCCATGCCATTTTAGAACGGAAATCCGCTCCTATCTTTCGAAGATATATACAAAAGGAGGAAATCGACCTGCTCCCATTTGATGCTGCACTCTTCAATCGTGGAGCACAGGAGGTCCTTGGATCAGACATATCCGTATTTGCGAACACCAAAATCAATGCTGCAGATACTTTATTCAACGGAACAATCCCAAAGAAAGCTTTCTTGGATGGGTCGGTCCTACAGGATACTACTAAACGGACGTACAAGCATTTCTTTAGCCTGGCGGTGAGCACAAGTTCTGCGTTTTTTACCCGCAGCAACGGAACATCAGTTGGTAAGGTTATAGTCCGAGGCCAAACAGTAGTTATTGATCGGACCTTCGCAATCGTGTCTGATATATTTCTTGGCTTGGTACTCCTGATGGGTATCATCCTTTGTGCTTATTCGTATCAAAGAGACTCGACCCTGAAAAGCGACCCGGATTCACTCTCCGCTACGATGGCCCTCATTGCTCGCAGCAATCTACCTTCCAAGTTTAATGGGCTGGATAGGGCGAGTACCAAGATCCTGAAATCGAACATTGGTCAGAGCAAGGTAAATATCGGATACTGGGAAGATCCTAATTCTGGGGGCTTGGTATATAAACTTGATGAAATACCGGATTCTCAATCTCGTAGGTGGACCAAATCGTGCGAAAAAATGTGGCGTCTTTAAGATCGTAACGAAACTGACTGATCCCAAAACTGACTTATTAGAAATCTCGCTTCCCCGGACTTCATTAAAGGAAGAGTCTATTCCTTTCCATTTGCGACTTAACATCGGAGTTTTGTTCTTCGTGACCCACCTCGCCATAATCGGCTTTTTGACTTTTCTTTTTATCCAGAGTAGAGGCTCGGGGCTTCCGCGTCTTTCTGATAACTCCTTTACATTCAATTTAATCTGGGCGTTCATACCCACGCTTGTTGCCACAGTGCTGGAGCCGATATGGGCCTCCATCAATCGAGATATCTCGGTTCTCCAGCCTTTCTACAACCTCATCAAGAGGAACGTCAGTGCAGGGCGGAGTTTATCTTTAAAATATCAAACAATACCGGCGGTACTTATGGCGAGGTCCCTTGTTGCCCATGACTTCCTCCTCTCTGTTGTGTCTTTTGTGACAGTTTCTGTCAGCCTTCTCGCTGTGACGTTGCCTGGTATATTTTTTGAGGATGTTAGAGCGGTTCCGACGACAATGAACTTTCAACCTCAAGCTACGAAACCTATAATCCCGATTGGGTTTTACTTTTGGGGGTTTAATTCGCGGCGGGATAACAATTTCCTGGATTCGTTTGCAGCAGCGCGAGCGAACATCTCAGAGCATGTACCATTACCACCATGGTCGACACGAGAGCATATGTTTTTACCCGTGAAACCAGCACCCGAGCTAAATTCCAGTCTCGACTTTGACTTCTACCGCACAACCACTTTGGGATTTAGTGGTAGCATGGAATGTCGTCCAGTTTTGAACGGCACTGGCGGCGAATATATTTACTACAACCCCAACAACGGCACCACAACTGCCTTTTTGCAAATCCCAAACACATACCAAGGAAACCCTTCAGATATGCTGCCGTGTCAAACGGTATTTGGGTACAAACCGCCGGTACTGAGAGATGAGTCGCCCGCTCATCATAATTCTATTGTAGGCAGATGGCCGTTTCCCAGTCTCTACAACGCCGGAGAACTCTACCTCGATACTTCAGAAGATGACACTAAGTTGGTGCATATATCCGCTGAGAAGCGTGAATATTCCTGGGAGGAAGAGCGACAAAAGTATATCAGGGAAGGATTTTGCTTGAATATCATACCTGTTGCGTGGTCACATCGTATTTATAGCCGGGGTGCAAAGGGTTATGTCATGGAGGGCCAACCGAAACAAACATTGCTAGTTTGCCAACCAAAAGTTACAGTTGCAAACTTCAGCATAGAGGTCGACCGAATCGGGAACATTCAATCTTATCGAAAACTAGGAAATTCATCTGAAATCGACGATTACCTCGAACCCGGATTTACCAAGACACAATTTAATGAGCATTTGTCCGGTATATCCCGCTCGCTCCTTAAGATTCCAGAATCTAGGGCACAGGACTGGGAAGGTCTTCTCATGACCCGCCTCGCGAAGAATGGCACCGACTACTTTGACCCGGTCGAGCTGGGTAAGCTCGCTAGCGAGACCTTTGCTTTGTCCTTTAGTATATTTGCCGCCCAAAACAAAGCCGAGTTGTTTTTGGAAGGGGGTAAGAGCTCTGACAATGGATATGTTAGTGGAACCATATTTAAGTATGAGAAAAGGGTTGTTATGTCGCCACCGTTGACTATAGTATCACTTGCTATCCTAGGGTTATTTTGTGGGGCTCTCGTTTTGGTGTATGTTTTCCGAAGGAAGCGATACCTCCCGAGGCAACCAACTTCACTGGCGTCTATGATTGCTTATTGTCAAGATAGTACTCTGTTGGATGATCTTGTTGATACATGGGGAATGTCAACTGTACGGAGACAAGAGATCCTTGAAAAATTAGGGCACACGTATGGGTTTGGTTGGTATAAGGGCCGTGATGGAACCCGCCGGCTAGGAGTCGACAAAGAGCCACTGCTTGCTAGTTACGATATTTCTTAATAAAATTAAAACTTTAATTATTTTTAATATAATAAAGATACTAATTAATACATATTATCATTTCTGACTACAGATGTAGACTCTTTGACGCTCAGTGTGAACGACCAGATTTTCTTATGAAAGCTAAAGAAGATATAGAGCTACTGACTAGCCGGAACTGCAACTACTTGCTTTTAGAGTGTTTCAAATGAAACGGCTCTATCCTACGATCTAAAGCCCTCTCTACAAAATCTAAGTGATGGGATAGAGAAGTTGAAGCTACTAGTAATAGGTATTTTATAAATTTATAAATTTAGTGTTTATTTGCCTCCAGACCAGTGTTTATTAATAATCAAGCAAAATAACACACGGCATGTGTTGAGATGCTTGAAGCCAGAAGACAAATACAAGAACTAGCATATATTTTAGGCCATAAGATGGGGGAGCTGGATCATGATCATGATATGGATTCATGCTGAGGTCGTGAATTCAGATATATCAATATATCCAGATGGTAAGTTATTTTACTGTAAATCTTCATATTGGCAATGGAACGCACCAAGAATATATACTGTATTTGTCGGTTTCAAGGTGACTCTCTAATCAGTCTGGGTTGTAATTTAATTTTACTACCTAAGTGTCAAGGAATTAACTGGAAAATAAACTTCTGTGGCAATATAATCACTTAGGAAACGACTATGCTAGACAGTCAAATAATATATGGAGAATGAATAAATTTTTGAAAGCTGAATGCTTTCATTGTTAGCGAATCGCTCAGAAAAAAACTCCAGGTGAATGCAAAAAAAAAGAAAATGCTGAATGCTGAATGTAGGGTATATTCAGATACAGAAAAGAAGAATAGAAAAAAGAAAAGAAAACGCTATAAAAATACAGTGAAAAGAAGCTGCAGAAGGTAGATGACACCCCTACAGAAGAATTTACAGGTTTAGGATTTGGGTTTAAGCTGGAACGCCGGGGAAACCGCTGTTCAACAAAACCTGGCCACCCCTTGGAACATTGGCTCCGGCCCTAATGACACCTTGTTGAGCCTTAGAAATAACAAGTCTCTTCATACCGACGGGATCTTGTCTGAGGTTAGGGTTGAGAACGAGGAGGTCTGCGATCATGCCAGTAACGTGTGGGCAAGCCATGGATGTTCCTTGAAGAGACCTGGTGGCAGTGTTACCAGTGCTGAAAGTGCTAACGATATCGACACCGGGGGCGTGGATATCGACGCAGTTACCGAAGTTGGAGAAAGAAGCACGGGCATCATCGATATCGGTGGCACCAACAGAGATGATTGGGATCTGACGGGAGAAACCGGCGGGGGAGGTATTACAAGCATCTTGGTTCTCGTTACCAGCGGCGACAGAGATGTGGATACCAGCTCCCGAGGCCTTTTGAAGTGCATTAAACATGGCCCGGGGGAGACCGTCACCGCCAAGGGACATGCTGATAACGGAACCTTGGAAGTCGCCTTGGTTTGAGCGCTTTCCGTGCTCAGTGACGACGAAATCGATACCAGCGACGATACCGGCGATAGAGCCAGAGCCTTCATCCCCGAGAACCTTCACGCCAATGAGGTTAACATTCTTTGCAACACCGAAAGTCCTAGAGCCAACGGTTCCAGCGGTGTGGGTACTAAATGGAATGTTAGCTGATGTTCTTATGCAGTTTGAAATATTCGTATGTCTCTTACCCATGTCCTTGTGCGTCGTTTGCACCCCTGCTTCCATCAACGCTGAAGCCTGATCGGGCTCTTCCAACGAAGTCAACGTGGTTAACGTTAAGACCAGTATCCAAAACATAGACATCAACACCTGAACCAGAAGCTTGGTCAAATCGATACTTGAAGGTCAAGTCGGTGTCCCTGCGGCCGTTGGCCACGACGGTCTTGTCGCTAGAAATTCGCTGAAGACCCCATGGAGCGGTGCTCTGTTCAATGAAGACCTGTTGGCCGTTCTGTCTCTTGGCCAAAGAGCTCAACCTCAAACTTTCCTTAACAAGATTTCGAGGCATGATCTGTGGCTCAGTGTTCGATGGCATAACAGCAGCCTTGTAGATGACGTTCTTCTCAACAATGGCGACATTGGAGAGAGCGAACATGCTGACACCCGTCGACTTCTTCATACTTGTGGTAAAACCTCTTATGTTTGTGCCAAAAGTCTTTGCTTCGGTTGCATTATATCCCATCTCTGCAAAAATCTCGGCCCAAGGTCGGGTCTCACCCTCAGCCATGATAACAACGTAATCATCGGCTGCGTCGTCGCCTTGAGTTTCGACATCACCAACTTGAGCTGCCTTTACAGTTGGCTGCTCATCAGGCTTGAACCATCTAGCACTGACTTCATTGGAAGCGGTAGGAGCGGCGAAAGAGGATGGAAGAGCGGCAAGGAGGAAGGTGGTGGAAATAAGAGTAAAGGACTTCATCTTGAATAATGTGAGTCGATCGACGACTGTGATAATAAAAAGAGAAGAGAGAAAAAAGAAGGATGCTGTAATAAAACTAAAGATTAGCTAAAGAAAACGAGAAGGGTCCAGCCGATTGCAGGTGTTACCGGCACCGCAAGTTTGAATCTCGAAAGAATCTAGGCGAAGCGTCGATAAGGATAAGCTCTTACCTTTTATATCAGAACTAAAAGAATGCAAGACTCCGATAAAATGGCTGGAAAAAGGCGCTGCCTCTTTGTCCTGTCAAAAGTTATAATAGGGAATGATGGCTGAAGAACCGACAATGGACAAATCGCACAGCGATGAAATTATCTAATAACTTTTTAAAAAGACTGAAGAGGTGGAACGAAAGAAGAAAAAAGAAAGAAAGCACGGCTAGCGTGTTGAAGTGAAAAGATGATGACCGAAGAATGCAGGCCGCTAGAAGCTTGATGGTGGTGAAGAAAGAATGAGATAATGCAGTGGGATCTGCCAGCCTTTATGTATTGGATGCATCTTCTCTACCAATACATATTTCAGATCGGAACATCCGAGTTTACTTGCCTTCGAACGTTTTGTTTAGCGTGGGGCTCATATCGAAACCCTCCGGCTTGGAGGGATGCAAGGTACGTGGCTGTCGACATTCCTGCTACAAAGCCGAGTCCCACACCCCTGCAGGCCTATACTAGACGACATATTCAGCAACTCGTCGCGATTTAGCTGTCTTTGGAAAATAACCACCAAAAAAAAAGGTAGAAGATCAGACGGCGTTTTGCATTTACGACGGGCAGGGTCTGCAAAATAATTGTCATGAGGTTCGTAATGTTTACGAGCGCTCCTACTGGAGCAGGAGGATAGTAGAAGGATTCTTGTAAGTGATTCAATCGAGGATATCCATGGATCTTACTCTAAAAGTTTCAAAACGGTAACGAGTCTATCGAATCAGTTGCTTTTCAGCATGGGGAAAGTAGAAAACAACCGCACTGTCCTCATATCGAAGCATGCGTAGTGGTGTCATTGGGCGAGGCTATCAGAGGCCTCGACATGCATCCCCGGTGTTCGCCAGCCCGGCGGAGGAATGTCACTGGCAAAGTGAACCGCCTGCTTTGTGTGCAGAAGGGGGTTCCGCCAATGATGGCTGGTCGTCGTGTTTTTTGAATTCTCCGACCTCCTGTATCAGCATTTGATGAATACAAAGTAGCTGCCCCTTACCCAGTCATCTGAATCTTCAATGGTGTGACGTTGCTTGTGTTCCTCAGACCCCTGGTGAAACCGAAGCGAGCATCCAGTCGAACTCTTGGCGCTGCATCTGTGACAGATTGGCTCGTTTGGGGACATGGTCCTTTCTGCAGCCTTACTCCGCAAAAACCGACGGTACAGTATGGAAAAATTCGTCAGCACGGCCACATCCAGTCTTCGGGCCAGTCGAGGCGAGCGGCTAGCTAGTGTTAGCTCGAAGAAACCCTTGAGCTTAATAGGAAATCTTGAAGTTAGGCAGCCCCCTCACTGTAAAGAATATATTAATTATTTAAGCTTCTTTTTATCGATTTGTCTAATTAGCCATCGGGGTTCTCCTTTTACAAAGCAACTGACCATTGATACCGTGACATACGGCCACAAGGACCGCCTGGTAGAAGACATATAACAGTAGCCAATAATTCTCTCTTGTGGTTTCATAAGGTCTCGTAGGATTCGAAGCAAGCAATGTCCGACTATTCCTTATTAGTCGCCGCTACACGAATCCGGCTGGATATTGTTTTGTTCTAGAGACATTCGCACCGCGAATTGTCGCGGGAGAAAGGGGTAAAGTCTATATGATCATGTTTCCTACTTGGTCACGTCAGTACCCTGAGCGGATATGTATCCGAACCCCAGCGTTGACTTTTCTACCTTTTGTGTGTTCAGAATGCATAAAGAAACAAATTTATGTTTAGATATATGTTTATGAACTGCCTGAGTTTAGTCCGATATGGTGTCTCTGCTCTTTGAGATTAGATGGATATTTGACACTATTAATATATACCGGTATGGCCGGCCGGCTATGAGGCGTCAGGAACGTCTCTTGTGCATGTGCATGCATAATGCATCTCGGTCATTTCTTTGACAGGTATGATGTCAAATCTGCAAAGTCTAGACAAGACATCGGTTTGATCGCTTGCGATTTCGAAACTTTCTCCAGCCTCGACGATACTATTCTATTCTAATCTTGCTAACGTTGGATTTTGACAGGTGCAGGCGCAGTCTCGCCGCCTTGTGCGACAATGAGCAATCCAAAATTGTGTTGAGCGTCGGCACTCGATGTCTCGACAACACAAAACCTGAACGCGATGTCTTCTTAATTCTTTCAAACTAGGGAATACGTTACACAGATACAAACTATCATGGAAGCTACCAGGTTCATGCTCCAATTGCGGCCCTAGTTTGGTGGCTCAGAATCTATGCTCTCTTTGCCGTATCCGAGCATCTTCGCATAAGTATGGGTAGTGTACTGTGCCGCTGAGCTGCAGAATTTCCCAACCAGAAATCTCAATTTGATTCCCAGGGTCCGGCTCTCATCCAGATCGATCATGTACCACCTCATGCAAATATGCACATATAGCTCCAGAATCCAGAATCCAGGTTCTCGGCTAGTTGGATTCCTCTAACCGCGAACGAACTTTTAAACTGTCACACTGATTCCTGCATGGCATTTTAATCGACTTGATTGGTGTTGGAATGACCATTTTCCATCCACCGCGATTTTGTCAGCACCAAGGCCCTCGTTCAGGTGCTCAAATTTCGGAGCCTCAACCCACAGTTCAGAGCTCGAAGTTTCTAAGCGCCGGCCTTATACAAATACCCTTTTTTCTCAACCACTAGATTGAAACACCAACGGAATCAACCCTAGCACACGTTTTGTGGATGAGCTCTGATATTTGAAATTCAATGTGCTAATTATCACATTTTCAGCCTCAGACAGATTGCCACGTCAGATTCCTAGCTTTATCTTGAGCTCCATCTATTTGAGCTTCCTCGCTAGCTCGGACTAGGGAGCTAGCTATACCGATACCTAGCCGCCTCCCCTAGCTAAAGCCCTCAAGGGGTAGCTTTCGAGGGCCGCACCGCAGAAGATGAAACTAAACATTGGAAACTACTCTAGTTCCGGGATCTTAGATCACATCGGCTATTTTTTTGTATCCAACTTTTTTTTTTTTTGATAACCGCTAGGATATCTCCTCCTAATCATCGAGTCATCGTTAATCTTAATATTTGACAACATGCTAGCCCTATTGTTTGTCATGATATGATCTATTGTCTTCAGAGGACGAACTAATGAGATCGCAGATTCACCACCTGGTGTGCTTTATATGTGGGTTTCAGCTGGTATTACCGCCCTAGGGTATTGCTCCTGAAGCCCATTGCTATTTTGGCTTGGAGTACTTCACCGACTACCAATTGATTTACGAATTCAGCCATATCACACTATCAAAATGTTACAAACATAGAGTTGTTTATAGACGCCGATTAGCCAGAGTAGTGAAATAGAAATTAGTTTGGTCCTAAACAAGATCCTAAAAGCAAAAACACACGCATTACAGATGTAAAAGTAAATAATGATAATAATTATAAACTTGAATTAACTAACTGTGAATGTACACCAATTATCAAAGATAAAACCCCGTAAGCGCATACCAGCATACACGCATGAATTCTACCCGCGAATCTTTAAGGTTCCTATCACCTAGTTCATCTACACAAAATGCCAAATGAATTTAGTCCCCTAACCGCCCTTCCCTTGTCTTCATATTATAATACCTACCATCAACAACATGCTCACAATTAATCAAACAGCTCTACTGATACTCATCCTCTTATCCATCGAGCCCGTACCACCCCTCCCCTCTCCACCCACAACCCCCTGATCCCATCCAACCTCCTTCTTCTTCTTCCTCCTTACATGACTCCCTTCATTCTTTCCTTTATCTTCCCGGCCACCGGGGTAATACACATCCGCACCACTGACATTTCCAGCGGTAATATGTTCATGCTCTCTCGCTTGAATTCTCCCAATTTGGTCCGTTGAGGTGTTGTAACCACCTGATGAAGTTGGCGGGTGGTTATCGCCTGCATAACGATCTGTGTCGTATGGACCATTAATTATATCTCGGTTCTGGAGACGACGAGGGAGCAGGTGACCGAAGGTTCGGTGGAAGGCATAGGTTACGTCGCGGTAATCGAATTGGCAGGGCAGACCGAGTACCATTTTTAGTCTTTTCCTTCTAGCTTGAGGTCTTCTCAAGTTAGGTAGGTTATGTGGCTAATTAATCGGGGTGAGATGGTTTTAAAATGGAAGTCTCCGGATATAGCCTCTTTTTAGGTACGTAAGATTGTGGAGTGTGAGGGTGGTAGGTAGATTGACAATGTAAACTAAAGAAGCTTGTTCGGATTTTCGGGGGAGTGAGGCCCGTGGTGGGAATTGGGGGGCTTCTGGGGTACTTGTTTGTACGGAATACATATTCTTCATTCAAAAAATCTAAAGGATTTACAGTTAAGTATATATGTGTTATTTAAAGTTTCCATAGGTACTTTACGGGGAGGGTATATAAAGATCGAAAGATCTGAAGAGGTGATTACGTCTAGCTGTAACGTTGGTAGACATAGTATAGAGCTATACTGCCAGGTTTTTTTTTCGTCATTTACCGGATACGGTGTATAACTTAACAAAACCACGGGAATTACCGTATATTTTTAGAGACTTGCATTCTAGAAGAAGAAGTTATATGTATGTTACGAAAGATAGGGTGTTTCGAAGGGATGAAAACGGAACGGTTGTGAGATGGGTTCAGAGCTTAATGATTTTCCCTTTAAACAGCCGGGAACGGAAGAGTCTAGCGATCGAGAATGAAGAAAGCTAAAAGTGGATGATATCCGTTTCATATTCATATTTTGGTTTCAAAAGTTTGGTAGTTGGTATGCACTTAGATATGAAGCTCATTATGTTATGATAAATGATAAAAGGTAAATATCGATATATCCGGGTGAAGTCGAAGCCATAGACCCACATCGCATTGTAAGGCCAAGGAGTCGGATTTGCCAAGGAGTGTGGTATTTTGTTGAGGTTTCGCGTTGTTTGCCTCCCGGGTGTCAGAAGTACTTGCGTTGCCGACATAGCATAGCTTAGTACATGATTGCATCGATTGTACCCTTTCTGTCGACGACAATCATGATCAACCAATAGCTTCGAGGTCGTGGAAACAAGGTTAGCAGTCGGAACATGTATGTATGTAGGTATGTACAGGGTCAGCGAGATGCATGGTTTGGATGGTATGTATCTTTTCCTTTAGCACAGCCACCCCGGCCGGGACCCACATCATTACAAAATCATGATATTCGATGTCTACTTCGAGAAGGTTGGCCGGGGCGGTTGCAGGATCGGAATCGGGATGTTTAAAAAGATAGACTCTCCGGTTCTCTTATGTAACTATGATCCTAGACATCTACGGTACTTGGAGATTTTTTCGACATATGTACCGAGGGAGTTACATGTAATATAATATTAGTACCTAGGTATATTGCAAATCGTGTATTGAAGTTATATATATATGATGCGACCATCGATGCATCGTAAACTCAAGACATTGGCTCTCGTCAGCCATGCATGTATATCACGATAATTCTTGATGTGCAATTAACGATATAAAGAAAATGAATTCTATTTCTACTAGCATACCTGGGTGATTAAATTGCTCTATTTACCCAGATTCGATTCTATGACGTTGCGCTGAAGTCAATCAGTGTTGGCCGCAGAGTTTGGCATTTTGTGCCGCAGGAATATACTTTCCTGTCACGTGAAGTGAATACGGCTACTTTTTTGAGTTTGTATCGTTTAAGTTTTTTTTTT